TACAAGTGCCACAATTTAAATAATTTTTATCTCAATTATTAGGCAGACCGTTAAGTAACTATTCTTTTCATAAAATATTTAAATATTCGAAATTAACATGGCCTAGCATTCTATGGTGTTTTTCTTTTTGACTTATATTACATTGTTACATCGTATGCGTGTTTGTTATTTACTATGCTAAAAATCTTGAATGTACTGTTTATTTGATATGCTGTTGTAAGTAGTTTATTCTTTTTACTAAATACTTTTGCACTATCATTTTCCATAATAACTTTATTATATTTGTTATTTTACCAAAACTCACTAGATTTTCATCCATTTTTTTAACATAGTAAACGTTTTTCATATCGACTTCTTTGATTTTATCATTGAGATGAAATATTAGACTTACGTTTTCTATTTTTGTAGCTTCAAATTTTTTTGCTATCGCCTATTTTAACATTGACTGGATTTTGTAGATTTATATATTCAGAAAAATAATTCAAGTTATTACAAATATGATCCGTGCAACAACTATCCAAAATACATCTAATTTAGTTCGTACAATTATTCGCCTCGCAATCAGCAAGATTTTTATTGCTATTAATACATCCATTGATATATAAAATTGTACAAAATAAGTCTTTGTTAGTACTTTAATTTGCGATAACGCTTCTACCTTAATTAGTACTGTTATCTTGATGATGTGGTTGTTGCCAATATTAATTCTGACACTGTTGATATCCACCACGGCCACGCTGTGCTCTGCCAAGGCCTCTGTTATTGTTATGAAAGTTTTGCTGTTGTTGGTAACCGAACTGACCTCGTCTGCCTTCTTGCCGTAAAATACTTTTTCTTCTGTTTACATTTGTGACACTAGTCCACAATCCTCTTGATAAGTTTCCTCGTTTATTATAATTTTATCATAACATTGATTTTAAAAATGTCCTGGTTTACTATTTTTATAACAGTATTTATTTACTTTTTTCCACTTAAAACACACTTTAATTTCCACTATAATATGTTAATTTTTGTATATATCTTATATCACGTACATTTTAATTTTGTTTTTAATATACTCAATTGTTTGTTCCTCTTCTTTTAATAGTTTATTGAATGACCAATATGGTTCAACGCGGGATGTAATGTTCTTAATGCATAATGAACCTTTTTCTTTTTATCAACTGTTGCTCCAGCATTTTTTAATTCAATTATTATTTTTTCAAATTCACAAAAAAAAACTTCTAGATTTTTTAAAGTCACTTAATTTGATTTTATTTAATTTATTTCTCGCTCACATTTGCAATGCTGTTGATTCTTTTAAGTATAACATCTATTTCCTTAATAATCTCATACAAGCTTGTTTTCTAATGTATCAATTCTAATTAATCTATATTTAATGCAGTGCATATGTGATCGATCGCTTTTAAATCTCCTTCTTTCCAAGCTGATTTCGTTTCCTTTTGATTTCTAGTTTCTAATTTAATTACATCTTCACATTTTATTAATCTTAAATACATTAATATTCTCTTATTTCACAAACTATGATTAGTACTATCAAAAAATGAGTAACATAAATTTAGTATCTTCCGCCATTTTGTCTTCTTCTTTTTTCTTCCGACTACGTTAAATACAGATGCCACATTTTTTAAAATTTAAAAAAACTCCTTCTCACGTAGTCTTTGTATTCCTATTTAACTCCAAATTAGCACTGTTTATCTTCTTTAAGATTTTCTTGTTGTCGATCTGCTCAGTTCCTTTTTTTTCTCGTATGTTTTACATTTACCTACACTTGAACATCATCTCCACACTTCTTTCCACTAAACACGCAGCAAACGTCCTCTTTCAGAAAGCTTTTTAATCCTTTTGCATCTCAATAAATTTTGCATCAAAACATATTTATTACATATTACTGCACACGTTTTACACTAATATTTTTAATACTTCACATATTTTTTATCTATTACTAATTTTACAGTCTGTCTTACAAGTGATTGTTACGTGCTTCTAAAGAGACATGTGAAAAATAAAAAAAAATACAAGAACGAAACTGTCAACTCGCACCACGGACTGCTACTGTGTTAAATATAAATGAACCTAGAAAATTGTAGAGATCAAAACATATTTTCTTTCAATATACTTAAATTTATTATTATTAATATTCCATATCGATTATGAGGTACTATGCCTTAGCAACGGTTACCTTTTCACTAAATATACGTACCTTCATCAAACCTGTATCAATCATGCGACTCGAGAGCTCTGATGCATCCTCATGACTTAGCATCCCAGCACTGCGTGTGTAGTTTCAAATTCACTTAAATTCTAACAGTAACAAAAAAAAAATCATAAATTATGGTTACAATCTGAATTATTGGGTGATTTATGTAAAGAAAAATATTACATGACATCGAAAATATGTCAGTAGTCTTAAAACTAATGATAGGTTGCCAATAACCATTCATTAAAGAGAATGCTTTGCTAGGGCTCTGGTGAAAAAGGCTATTGTTTTGTTTGATTCCTTGTTGCTAAGTTTCTACTGCTACTTCTGAACCAGTCAGTAGCAACGGGCTATATGCCCCAGAACTGGAAGTTGTCACACGTTGTACTTATCAGAAAAAAAAGTGATAAATCCAATGTTAGAAATTGGAAACGAATTCTTTTGTAGAGCATTAGGGCTAAATTGTTAGTCATAATCATTTTTGACAAATTTTACAAATAATTGGTAGTAAATTCATTGATAAATGGCATGAATTCTTACGAAAGCTCTCGACTTTCACGATTTTGTTTGTATATTGGTATACTGGTTAAAATCTTGTTTGTTTAACTACTAACAAGCCGTAGCTATTAATAATGCTTTGTTGGCGTATGTTTTGATAAGTTGTGTCTTCTACTATTTTTGATTTACGTGATTTAGTGACTTAAAAAATGTTATCTCAAACTTCAAGCAACTAATATTTGCTGATTATGTAAAGCTTCTTATCAATGTTAAAAACACTTCTGATTGCTTGGCTGTTCAGAGTGACATAAATGCTCTCGTGGATTGGAGTTCTAAAAATAAACTTACTGCAAATATTGGTGAATTTGCTGTGATTTTGTTCTCCTGATTACGGTAGCCTATCGCTTTTCATCATAAAATTTGCGAAACCTTATGAAACCGTCATACAGAGATGAATAGTTTAGCTATTGCTTTAATAGTTCTTTTAGGTTCCATAAGCAAAGAAATTGTGTACTCTCCACTGCCTATTAAACTCTAGGATTTTTGAGAAGAAGATGTAAGGACCTCACCATCGTTAAAACGTTGATATAATTACACTAATCTCTAGTCCTTGCATCTCTTCTTTACGGATCTGAGATGTGGGAACTAATACAGTCCCTCTTATCATGCAATAAGTTACTCATTCATATTTAAAATTTTTCTTGATAGTTTTTCATGCAATTTAAACAGCAGAGGTTTTGTAAAAATATCTGCTATTTCTTCGTGGGATATAATCCGTTTGACAGTTATTTTTTCTCTGGTCGCACTTGCTTCAACATAATGAGCTTTGATATTAGTCATGAGTTTCAATCTTTTACTACCATATTCGCACACCACATATCCGCGGGTAATACAGTGTGAGATAATATAAGTCTTGTGGAGTGTTCTAGTCCTATTAGCTCCTGACTTATATTACATATTCTGCTGCGCAGCTTGAGATCCCAACGTAATTATGTATTCTTCCACTCTATCTATATGGACTCTGTAAGTAAATCCAAAAATGGTCATTAATAAAATCAAAATTACAGTTTTTATTGTAAGGTTCTTCGTTTATAAATAAAACTACAGCAAATTTTCATAAATATAAGCATTTATGTTAGTTTCTGCCTTTTTATTATTCACAACGGTAGAATTCAATATACAGAGTAAGACACATAGACAACTTTAAGCAATTTTGTTCCTCAAAAATAATTCTACAATATTTTTTAACACAATATTTCAAATAAAATACATTTATATAACTTTCAAATAGTCAATAACAATACACAAACGTCTTCGGGTACCTGCTTCTTACATTTTGAAAGAACAACTCTCCCAATTAAAGAGTATCGAAAAGTAAGGTGGTGCTCCTAAACTAGTCAAATGCCTTAGTATAGTCACAGCTGCTAGTGAGCTTGGGTATGCTCAAAATCACTCAGACGTATGAAAAGAGCTGTACTTGCATCTCATTTTTGCTCTTGAAGATGGGCGTCTAGCCTGTGAAGAGAGTGGCGTATCTTCTAGGGTCTGAAGCCAATTTTCTTTTCATTTTACATACATAATCAGTAGCAGTCGGTGATGCCTTCAAGAGTCAGTTAGATAGAGTCCATCAGCATAGCTAGCAGTTATTCGCTCACTTACTGAGAATCCTGTCGTAGTCAAGTCTCTGTACATGCTTGATCCACTTGTGTATTTCGAAATATGCTTAAGTATGGTTTCCTTATGATGGTTAAGCATGTTCATTTGACAAGTTATCAGTGAAAGAGCTCCACTTAATTTTCTCTGAGTATATCCTAGCTTAAATGTTTACAATAATTCCTGCAGCGGTGATAATCGTAATGAAAGTGACGATAAAATATCAATAATGGCAGTAAGAGTAAAGATAAAAGCAAGCATAATAACAATGATAATCATTTTAACAATATGCAAAAATATCCCTTATAATTGGATATTGGCAATTACAGACATAACAATGAAACTACATGTAGACAAATTTTACTACAGCAAAAATAATGATATTTTTTTAAATTGTTGAATTGATGTAAGGATTATGTTTTTACATGTGCAATTGATTTAATTTATCTGGATCACTCAAATAATATTTATGCATCATCCAACGTAAGGTTATGATAGTTACTTTGATTTTATTACTTTTAGTAATCCTACTTAAATTTTCACCGTCGACAGCTTTGTATGTTATTTTTTAGTCATTGATAAAACATATGCTTTAAAAATGTATGTGTTTTTTATTATTTGAATATAATATATTATATATTTATTTCAGCTCATGCGTAAGCCAATGTCCTCCTCAAACGTTTGCCAATTTACGTGGTGTCTGCTTGCCTTGTCATCCATCATGTAAGACTTGTGTTGGTGCTGGCCAAGATTCCTGTCTGTCTTGCGCTCCTGCTTATTTGTGGGTATCTGACTTGGCAATTTGTCTTCAATTTTGCCATGAAGGCTATTTCGAAAGTGAGTACCTAATGTAATATATTGCAGGAATGTGATATGATTTTTCCAGCAATCAGGTTTAAAACTTGTTTTTTACGTACGACTGCTACAACTACATGTTTTTATACACCTATAAATTTGATTTTTAAGATAACACAATACAGTACATTAACTGCTGTAGTACTTTACATGTAGTTAAGTGTAGTAAAACATTTGTTTACTATAAAGTTTAGTATTAACTTTTATTGACAGAGAATTAAATTTAGAGTAATCTTTAAAAATATTGGTCAGCAAAAAATCAAATGAAGACAGTAAAATCGATACATCTATTTTCTGCAACGTTTTGATCGTATTTTGTGAACCTCAATAAGTAAGCAGAATATACAATAGAAATATTTATGTAATAAGTAAAACAAGAACTATAAAGATAATTTTAATTTTAGCGCAAACACGATTGTTAAATAATTAAGGAAAATCATAAGAATACATCGAATAAAATTAACTCAATAAATATACACATAAAAAATACCTAAAACAAACCTCTCAAGTTCTCAGTGTAATCTTTACTGAATTTAAACATGTTTATTATTTTCATGTGGTAATTAATTATACAAATAGCTGAAACGATTAGAACATAATCATACGGATTGACAAAAACTTGTATATAACCCACACAGTTGTCACTAACACACTTTAAAAATCAAAATGAAGGCTATACATTAATAATAGTGACTATTCAGGGCACTACGCTGGGCACTAAGCACTTGGGAGAATGAAAAGAAAGAGGGATGGGAGGCCACTTATTATCAGGAGGGAGGTAACAGAAAAATAGGCAATTTTTTGCGAGAAGATCACGTATTCCCTCCATGAGAAGTATTGGATCGTGAAAAAGCACATGTGAAAATTCACAGAGGTACTTACTCGACAACGTCGCACTGACTGAGAATCGAACTGGGGTCTTCAGAGTGCTGACCCACAACCTAGCTGACTGGACCATCGTGCGCTCTTATATACATAGTAAAAACAAATTTTAATAACAAATGTATTACTTAACTGTTAACATGACTGTGTGTTGATTCCACTGAATTGATGATTAATATTATTTTGATGATTAATATTATTTTCAATAATGTTGTCATACATAATTTTAAATTAAAGACATTTGTTACATCAAAGTTTTCTATCAAATATTTTAACATTAACCTTGTCAAACTTGTAGTTCTGATCATCAATATGCTTGGAAATCACGAAATATGCTACAGTTTCTCTCTTGTGCTCAGAAATTATGTCTTTGAGTTATCTCTTTCATTGGCCAACATAAACTTTAGGACAGTCCTCTTAAGGTAACTTATAGAATACATCTATATTTTCAAGGAATAGAATAGAGTTCTGAACCAATTTTGTTACGTTAACAAAACTTGAGTTCAAAATATTTGAAAAAATTTTATTTCTAAAATCTTATTTTAAATCTCGGATGAATAATAATAATAACAATAATAATAATAATTCTCTTTAATTTATAGAGGGTAGTTAAACACTATTATGTCTCCTTCTTTGGACACTTATAATACTAAGTTTAATATAAGAATGAAACTTGTTTTTGTTAAGTCGTTTATGCGGAGCTTTTATAAGTTTTTTATAAAAATCAGGTAGGTAAAAATGACATAGAGTTTCTAAAAATATATTTCAATAGTCAGACTTCATACTTTCAATAATATTGTCCACAAAAAAAAAAATTAAAAAAAAGGAAAAAAAATATAAATTTTTTTTAGAAAGTATTGAAGCAGTCTGACTCCAAATCCTTTATCACTATATGAGCAATTATTATCAGAAAAATCGACTATTTGTTGTAAAAATTGGATAAGTGGTGTTTTGGCATCCTGAGCACTCTTATCATTAAAAAAGTCCAAGAAAAAATATCAATAAGTTTCGATAGAATTTGAACCCACGACCCCTCAAGTTTCTCCTTTAAAAATGAATAACCACTTAACCAGCGACGCTTTTAACCTTTCTAAGGTATTTAGAAGTAAATGCCAAGGGACGTTAGTGAACCAAGATGGAACAACAAGAGAAACAAAAGTTCGACCTTCTAGAATGTGAATATCTGTAATTATGTTTTTTTTTTATGTAGGCTTTTATAAATGTGTAATTTCCAGGTCAGAATATAATTTTTTAATGTTTCATACAATACTATAAAGAGAAAATGAGTAGGACTCTTAATCGTAAAAATAACAGGTTGAAAGAAGATGTTAGCCTTTAAATTTTTAGTAAACCTTAACAATTGTCTTAATTTCTAAGTTTCAACCTAATACCTGTTGTTGTTCTTTAAAATACGTTGTATTCACATGTTGATTCATCTTCAGGGATAGTAAAATATATTTTCAATATTGAATAGTATTAATAACATTTTTGTCACTAATTTTATTTTGCTTAGCACTAATTTTCAAGCCATTAGCTGCAATTTTCTTATCATATTCAGGTTTATGAATATTTGTAATAGTTACAATAAACTCTAAACATCCTATATGTTCTATATCATTTTTATTTCCAACATCTTTCACAATTGTACAAAGTTTAGACTTGTTTAATTTAATAACAAATACGAAATCGGTGTGCAAGTTGGTTTTCACGTGTTTTCAAATGCTTTTAGAAAAACATGTCTGAAAGTTTTGGTTGGACATTAAAATATATAATTAAATCTGTTTCGAAATAACGTTATTCTGTCTGCATGTCACTAAAAATATTTTTACAGCTGCAGGAATTATAATAAATAAGTTATTATTCATCTATTGTTCAATACTGCTCGAGATTCTATTCCAAATTAATGTTTAATGTAATAAGAGGTACTGTTTTCTTGATTTCGACGATTGCAAACCATTTTTTAATTCAAGTATGAATGAATGTGACGTTTAGTGTCACCTTTTTTTCTTAAACAGTTGAATCCATTAAAATCTTTCAAACCGTTTCAAGTAGGCTAAAATTTATCACACATACATACATGTGATTACTACAAAGAAAACTACGAAGGTAGTTTGCTATAACAATGAGAATAACATAAAATAAACAAATACCAAGTTTACACGTAAACCATACATTTGCAAAAGTTTTTCAAATTCGAGGGGATGAGTTAATATTTATTTATTTAATTTTATTGATTACTAAAAGTATTTCAACGTTAGTGATTCAAGATATGGAAATATACGTACATAGAGAATGTGTGTGTAAAAAAGTATTACTGTTAAAATCTATGACTTTCAAATTTATCTCTAACTCAAAGTCTTAAGCATGTTTTATTTAAAAAAAATTAAAAATACTAAAACACTCATATATACATAAAGTGACGTGTAAAACAGAAAGAATAGAAGACATATAGATTGATCGGAGTTTGTTGGTACTATTATAAATATTGAGATACCCAAAGATGTTAAAGTTTTATTTTATGGCTCGAAAACTAGCGTTGAAAAAAAATAATGATATTAAAAAAGTGAAAATTTAAACCTTCTACAATCTAATAATACATCGCATAATCATATTTTACTTGCAAAAATTGTTTTATATAGTAATAAAAAATAGCTATTTCTACAGCATTTTTAGATTCACGTAACAAGGGATGTATGGCTCATTGAATTGCGATTATGCGAAAAATAATATTTGTATTCATTTATGTTTTTTTTTAAAAAGCAGCTTTGTTGAAAATACGATATTTGTTGATTTTTGTATTGTAAATAATTTTTAAACAAATTAAGTGCATAATTCTTACTGGAAAAAATTTTGTACATTCTATAGCATATTAGCAAAAAAAATTTAATAAATGTACAAGCTATACACTATAATATAATGAAATATAATAACCATTCTTCAGTAAAAACATGTTCAAGATTCAATTAATTTTTTTTTATTTTTATAGTTTTTAACCTACTTCATACACTTTTTTATTAGTATTAATCAGCTCTTTGAATAAAGTACTTCTAGTAAAAGACTGTATTCACTCTTGGTAATTATGTTTATATTTTGACATTATTGGTTTGAACAATAAAGATTTCTACATGCACTATTTTTCTTATTAATCAGTATTCATAAGTTTATGGTTAAGCGTGAACACAGTGACAATATTTTGAATTTCAAATAAACGCATTGTTTTTGTTCATGAAAATAAAATTTAATTGGGTTAATATTTCAAAAAGTGAACATAAGCAATCTTATTAAAAGTGTGTTACGCAAAAAACTCTTCTGATAAGAAATCTAAATAAGTTCATTATCAGTGATAACTTCACCAATAAGTTATAGTAACTTCAAACACTTTTTTTATGTGATCATTGTTGTATTTAACTAAATAGACTTTTAAACATGTTTTTTTTGAATATAGTAAAAAATGTGGAAAAATTTTTCGAGTGAAACCTTTCTTTACCCAATTTTTTAATGATTAATAGCCCCACATACTTACTTTTTAAAATATAGTTTTAAACTTAAGAAAATTATATTTGAATCCTAATATGACACATTAACAGTAGCCTACATTAAAAAAAAAACATTTACAACTTTTCATATTCCGGATGACCATACTATTATTTCTCTTTATGTTACATTTTTACTTGCTAGCATTCCTTGAAATTTAGTTTTCAATAGTTCAGATAGGCGGTCATTGGTATTGTAACAATCACGTAATACACCCTTTAATGAGATAAGAATATGTAAAAAAAAATTTATTTGACAATACACTATTTTTCTTTTGTAATAAGTTTTACTAGCAGACATTTGGTACACTTAAGAGCTAGTCTATGTTTTCTTTGTTTTCTGGTATAGTAATGACCGATCTTAAATAAGACTTCTGGGGTACTCCTGAAAAAAATTCTTAACGTTATTCCTATTATCATTTTTGTTATGTATATGACGTTATCATGATCGTTAGGTCATACTTATTAGATACAGTTTTAGAAACCCTATGTCATTGACAATAAACACTTAACTTATGAGCGAAAGCTATTCTATATTAGACAATTTTACTATGTAGAAGTTATACA